TTCCTACCAGGACGATATACAATAGGAAGAATTCTCTTCTAAAGGAGATCTCTCAAGCTCCTAAGGTAGTGCTCGCCTAGTACTAAGACTCTGCATGTCGTAGGAAAGAGCTAGTACGGGCTAGAATGTCTCTAAAGCTCTTGATTATTTCTTACCTCCCAGTACCAAAAATTGCTTTTCAAAGAAGCCAAAAATGTCAGCCATTCCTACCAGGACGATATACAATAGGAAGAATTCTCTTCTAAAGGAGATCTCTCAAGCTCTTGAAGTAGTGCTCGCCTAGTACTAAGACTCTCCATGCCGTAAGAAAGAGCTAGTACGGGCTAGAATGTCTCTAAAGCTCTTGATTATTTCTTACCTCCCGGTACCAGAAATTGCTTTTCAAAGAAGCCGAAAATATCAGCCATTCCTACCAGGACGTTATACAATAGGCTCTAGCTCCTAAGGTAGTGCTCGCCTAGTACTAAGACTGCATGCCGTAAAAAAGAGCTAGTACATAATTCATAATTCACGTATAATTTTGTGACATATATAAATTATATGGTTCTAACTAGTACCCTGAGGAAAACATTTTTAAATTAACTTTTAAGCAAAAAGTAATGAAGTTTGCTTTATCAAAATCTAAAATATATACATTTTTTCATATTAACTAGAATCAGTTGAGTGCGGATAATTTTTCTATTATTCTAAAAGAAATCGAAAACAGGTGTTTAATAGTGCGGTAGGGTGAATAAATGTTATCGATGACATCGTTTCGAAAAAAGAACAATCGTATCGACGATACAGCACGCTGAGAATAAACAGTATGGCGGACGTGCGTGATTTACGCGCCGCGCGGATATTGTTGAAATCCGCGTCGATAGCGCTTTTGTTTCGCCGTCTGCTTTCTTATCGCATATTAGTGATGTGTACATACGTTATAATATCGATAAAAAAACCTCTGTATACTTTAACGATCAAAGTTTTACATTGCAGGGATCATTTTGTTCATAGATAATGTATAGAATATCGAATAAAACCTTACCTAAAAAAATTAAGAGTTCTTAGAATAATGTCATTATTAATCGAAGGTTTTAGATTTATGGCAACACTTTTGGAGAAATGCTGTATAGTGCTGCATTGCAGCTTTTAGCATACCAATATGTTCAAATAAACTCGGATTTTTATCGATACGCGTCGTGCCTCTACATCACTATTAAAGACAAAATGCCTACACCCGCGGTGTTGGGAAAAGGCAAAATATTAAACGCATTCCACCACACCGTTGTAAAGGCGAATTTATTGGTTTTACCTTTATAATCTTTGTTTTAAATCTGTTATGTAATGTTTGTTAATGTTATGAAAATTTATTGTGCTTGATTCAATTATATTTTTTTGTTGAAACTCTTTTTTCATTCTTATATATTTTGTATGCATAGAGTTCATGATAGAGGGTGCTGATATAACATCTTAACATATACTCCAGGCATAGAACATTCGAACAAGATGCGTTGTCGTCTTATCTTACGAAAACATGCTTTGCATTATTCTAATATCCAACGATTCGAAAAGCATACGACATCAAATAACATTTTAAAACATCACTCCTACTCTTTTCTCGTAACATACACACAGACTTGTTACATTCATATTTTTCTTTGTAAATAATTAAATATTAAGAATCCTTTTAACTCTCCAAGGAATATTGCTTTCATTAAGGCCTTTCTAACAAACCACCACTCTAACAAGATATTTATACAAATTCCCCTTAACGGCCTGGAGCAACAAAAGTCCTATTTACAAACATAAATGATTCATTTTTTGCTCTCTTTAAACCCGCCATCTTAACCGAGGGTAATGACGTTAGACAACAATGACGTCATAAAGCGAAGTTGAGCCGCGTAATAGCTTTAAAGCCTTCATCACACCTGATATCCTACTACGGTGTTCTCGATTTAAAGTCGAAAGTTGAAATTAAGAATATGGTAGATTTGTGTGTTTGTTTGTTTAAACGCACTAATAGGCCTTTTGGTTGCGACTAATAGGAGCGAAGAAACAGAGGGGCATGTAAAATAAAAAAATAAGAACATTTATTTATTGATTTCAATAAATATTTTTTTTTAATTAAAAAGAAATGACTCATCTTTGAGGGTTTATCAAAAATATGTATGAAAGAATAATTATTTTATATATGTTCAAAAGAATCCGCGAATAATGAAAAAATGTCCGCGTTAGTTTATGTGTATCTTGTAAGAGTAACTCGGAAGAACCGATATTATTTATGGTAATTATATTTAGACAAAATTAATGCATTATTACGAATTATTTGTTCGAGTTGTATTAACATAATAATATTGTAATAAAGTATTATACTTGCTAACAAACGTTTGACGGATTATCTAGTAGTTCCATAAATATTTATTACAATAAGAGTATATATTCTAATATATACGTTTGACTGCCTAATATATTTTTCTAATTTCATAGAATCTTGAATTAAGGTTCACCCTTTTTTTCTTTGTATTTCAGGACCTGAGAGCGACCAGACCTTTTTTACATAAATTACAATTTTTAATAGATGTAATTTTTTACACAAACGATTGTAACCTTAGTAACCCATTATACTCAAAACTCACCGGTAAGTCACGTTTTTAATTATCATCTTAATATTAAAACCGATAGTTATTTTTTATGTTTGCGAAAGTACGAAGATCAGAGAGCAAAGCTCTCGTAAATGTTTATCGTTTTTTTAGGGGGTGCTATTAAATGTCCCTGATTATACTTTTATTACGTATAATACAGATTGTTCGTTGCTTCGTTTCCTTAATTATTTGTTAAAATCTTACATGTCGAGAAACTAAGTTTGGTTTATGTATTTGAGTGTAATCTTGCACAATTACTACAATAATTAGAGGAGGATAGAAAAAAACGACCTTCACTTGATGTGAACTACCCAAGCCATATAACATCTAAACAAAATGTGTTGTCGACGTATTTTGGCTTTAAATATTCGAGAATCAATCCAGACTGAAACCGAAACGCGATTAAACTGTAACGCTTCTTTATCTGTGGACGCTGGTTTGAAACGTACCACCTACTTAATATCCAGGTAAAAAAAAATATAACGACCCGTTAATTAGTATTCATAGCTACCATAACACCAACGACCTCGTCCAAATTACTGGTAATTATATTATTTTTAATTCTCTTTTTCTTAGAGAAAACAAGTGAAATCTCGCCCGAATGCCTTATTAAGACGCCGATATAAAGACAATAGAAGCATTATATCAAGTTAAACAATAAGCCGCTGATTAAGAGCTACCCAGTTGATCGTGAATTATTACGTTCGTAGAGCGATGGTATTTCATACGATCTAGCGATATTATATAATATATAGAAATAGTTTTTGATGTTATGGTAAACGGGGTATGACGGGATGATCAATACTGACTTAGGCCAAAGGGAATTTCAAGTAAGGGTTATACCATTGTTAGTATATATATATAACAAGGTAACCTCATACATCATATAAATTTATTTACTACATATTTATTTTACACATTAGTACTTAGGATTATAAACATTTGAGAAAGATCTTCACTAAGTTACACACATATCGTTATTGAATAAGGTATTACAAAATTTTCAGCTGTTTCATAAAATTATTTTATTAAATATTTTTGACTATATTCCCTTCTTAACTTAACCAAAGTAATATTTAAATAACATATTTAAATAACCAAAACGAATACGCTAAATAGCTTACTTGCTTTTGACAATTTTTAATAGTTTACTGAAACTAAATAGTTAAACGTGTTGCTTATCATTGCAAAAAATATAAAAGGTTCTGAACTCGAATCCCGGCGAAATTCGATTAGTTCTGAACTGAAAAATCTGAACCACAGAAATGTGTTCGCACGCCAATAAATTACCAAATGCAACTTACTTACTACTTAAATAACTTTGATATTTAAGTTTGTGTTTCAAAATCAGTGTTAATAACGCCTTTTTTCTGTAGCGTGTTATAAATGTCTTTTACATGGCGATGATTTTAACTTACGTCAAAAATATTTAAAAATATAAAGATTTATTACTAACCAGTGTGAAGGAATCTTATTCCCTGTCTGGTAATCAAACTAGGAGCCTATACATTACAGACGTTGGAAATGAAAATGATTTACTTTTAATAGCTCTATTATGAAGTCTATCATAAATTCGCTTAGAACTTGGCACGTAATTTGGTGAAAATTAATGACTTTACGATTATGAGTAAAACGTGGCTAAGATATTAATGCCCTATCTACATGCTGACCTCTACTTTGAACTGTCTTTCAAGTCTATATACGACGATAGAGGAATGTGTTAAGACCAAATCAATACATTATAAAGCTGAAGAGTTTGTTTTTTGTTAGTTTGAACGCGCTAATCTTAGGAACTGCTGTTAAGAATTTTAATTATTTTTGTGTTGGCTGGACCATTTATGGAGGAAAGCAATAGTCTATAAACATTAGGCTGCGCCCAATAGGAGAAAAGAAACGAAGAGAAATGTGGAAAAAACTTTCATACATCATTTTTGGTTTCTTGAATCGTTTTTGATTGTGACAAGAATTATTAATTTTAACCGTTTTTTTCCACATTTTCCACTATTAATTCGCTTCTAATGGTTGCAGCGTAATTGATCTAATTTTCAATTCCAACCAGTTGTTCTTCAGATAAGCATGTTGAAACAAACAAACAAATTGCAGTCGTTAATAGTAAAATATTAATGAACTATCTGACCGATTATTGTTTGCATAAACTTACTTTTAAGATAATATCTATTATATTGTATGCCTAAAGTCAGAACATGTACAATCCCATACTTCGTCTCAGTACGTTTGTACCTTAGCACCTTATCAAAAGTAATAATAAATTACTAGTCATTATTGATTTTACAGATAACGCTTATCAAATTCCCAAGATATGATTACCAATACGAAATTGAATTAAAACATTAATGGTCGTTCCATAAATCTTTAATAATGAAGAAATTTTTATTGCTTCTTTGGATAGGACTATTTAATGCGACAGCCTTGAAACGGACATTTGAAGGCTATGAAGTGTACAAAATAATACCGAAAACAGAGAATGATGTACGTTTCATAAAAGATTTGCAAAGGAATCGGATTGGTGAATTATGGGAGGATCAAGTCCAAGTGAATTATGAGGCTAGGGTAATGGTCCCACCACAAAACCTCCATATGTTCCTAGAACGAGTGAATGCCGCCAATGTTTACGCTCATCGTTTAATAAGCGATTTACAAAGGTAAGTCTCTTGCTATAGAATAAGATCACGTGTATAATGGAATACATACATATTGCGACTGTTGAAAATGCTCTGTTTTTTATTCAAAAAATAGTGAGAAAAGGCAAGCAAGTTATCAAACTGTTTTCACCGTAAAATTACAGACTTGACGGTTTCCTCGTCCGTGGACAGGAGCCTCCCGGACGGAATTTTGATATTTAATATTCAGGTTCCCTGAAGAAGTCCAATTTCAGAAAAAATGTAAATTGATTATAAAAAATCAGCATATCTTCATAGTCTTTCGGGCAACGTGAACGAGAAGAGGATCTCGATGTTTCGCCATCACGCGTGGACGGCATCACGGTAGAAATAATCATAATTCTTCGAGCAATCGAGGAATTAACATCTCCTGAGTTTGACCGTGAAAGCCTTACACAATTAATTGGTTATAAAAATGTTGGACCCCGTGATTATATAGCCACTTTCATGGAAGTAAGGCCAGGGTTTCTTTAATGTATTCATTAAAGACAAACTTATGTATTCAAGACAAGAAATTCGTTCAAGATCAAAGTTCCACAAAACATTATGTAGTATAATGGCTTTCTCCTTGCAGTGTCGTGGATGATCAGCTCCTGCCTAAAGATTTAGATCTAAGAATCAGAGGTGAAAACATTTCCTTCTTTTCGATGACTTGGGACCGTTATCACGACTTAACAGAGATCAATAATTGGTTAGATGAAGTGGCAGCAAACTACCCGAGCTTTGTAAAAATCGTGAATATCGGAAGAACATTTGAGAACAGGGAAATTAAGGGAATCGTCATTAATTACAAACCAAATAGAGAGAATAAACTTATTGGCATGTTGGAAGGTACTCTGCATGCGAGGGAGTGGATTTCGCCAGCGGTTGTTAACTGGATAATTAAGGAATTCCTGACGAGTAGAGATCCTGTTGTTAGGAGTATAGCTGAGAATATTGAGTGGCACATTTTTCCGGTTGTTAATCCCGATGGATATGTTTACACATTTACAACTGTAAGTGATAATTATGTATTTTTATTTAAACGATGAAGTGTGTATAACAAAAGAACGTGTATTACGCGAAATATATTAGTTATATTTATTTAATTATCTTACTTATGGCTCTTCGGATGCTTAAAGGTTTCCCCATGATCGGTTGCTGCAAAATATCCGCAACTTTTAAATAATATTTTCGCGTTTTAAACGGTTAAGTATTTTATTTATATAAGTTAACTAATACATTCTGCGTTTTAAGCCAGTAAAAGTGTTTTATTTAAAGAAGAACGTGCCCTACTTATGTTTTTATGTATACCAAATGATTATTTTCAGAACAGAATGTGGAGGAAGAATAGAAACACACTCAATTTCACATCATGCGCTACTTCCGGCGTGGACGACGACATGAGTAACGGAGTTGATTTAAATAGAAACTTTGACTTTGCTTGGATGAGTAAGAATTTTAATTTATTTTTAATATAGTGGACATATCAAAGAATTCCTTTTATATAATTCTTTGCATATACAAGTTACGAACACAATGGAAAAAGTTTATCAATTATTAAACATATTCATAAACCATTATATGAGGCCGCTTAAGGTAGAGTAGCCTACCTGCAATTTTATGACTAGACCTTTTTATATTTCCCTAGACTTTAATGTTTGTCTAATTATCGTCTAAATTTATTGTATATTTTTATTTTTCTCCTTATAAATAATTATGTCTTTTATAATAAGACCACTCTGCTAGAGGCAGAGTAGTAGCGATAATAGGGATGGGATAGTTATGTAATGGTAGACCATTACATAACTCCCATCCCTATTATCGTTTGTCAATTAAGTGTTAATATGGTATTATAGTCAAAGTTTTATCGATATATTTTTTTCGATTCGATTTCGATCGATTTATTATTTTTAATTTTTAATTCATATAGTGCCATTATGTGCAATGCATGTGCAATGTGAATATTAAAGTTTTCAATCAATTATAAATTGAAAAAAATGAACGACTCAAGCAGGACTTAAACCGGCGTCCTCAGCGTTCTGCTCTTCAACCTTAATACGCAAACTAAATTGCGCGAGAGGTGCACGTATCAATAGCTTGAAGAAATTCGACAAAGACGTGTGCGACTCGGTAGCTCAATTGTTTAGAGTAACAGCTCAGAACGCTGTGGTTGCCGGCTCAAGTCCTGCCTGAGTCATAAAATTGTACAATTTATAACCGATTTTTAATCAAATCAATCTCTTCCGTATCTTTCAGCTGTTGGCGTGTCCACCGATCCTTGTACGAATATATTCCCAGGATCCTCACCAGCATCAGAGTTAGAAACACAGGCGATAGTCAACTATGTCCGAAGCATACAAAACCAAGGGCGTTTCATCTACTACTACTCTTTCCATTCATTTTCCCAGCTTATCATTGTCCCTTATAGTAACGTTACTGCCGCGGATGTTCTTCAAGTTGGAAATTATGGCGATATGGTAAGATTGTAAATTAATGGTAGTACGGCTAATCAACGGGTCGTGGATTCGATCCCTACAGGGTCCAACAAAAACAGCAGATTAGATTGAACTCATAATAATTAGGTAACTGATATTGTTGTCTTTCAGTATGAAATAGCAGCCAGAGGTTCAGCAAAAGCACATGAGCGTTTTTCTAAAGTATACAGATACGGGATTGCAGACGAAATATTATGTAAGAAATTTGTTAATTACTATTCAATCTAAACCTAATCTTCCTTCTCTAAGTTGTCTCATTTATTTTCTTAACAATACAGGTATAGCTACATAAATAGCCAGTATGTTCGACTCACCTTTAACGAATTATATGAAACGTAATAATGTTCTTGAATTTCAGATTTGATGAGCGGGAGCAGTTTTGATTGGGTGAAACAGGAAACGGATGTGGCTCTTAGTTACCTTATTGAGCTGAGAGACTCCGGAGAATTCGGATTTCTACTGCCAGCTTCACAAATTATTCCAAACAGTTTGGAAATAATGGATGCACTCGTCGAAATGGATAGAGTAACTAGGCAATTAGGTTATTATTCGGGATCAAGTGTTACTTTGTCGTCTTTAAGTTTGATATTCTTGAGTATAAGCTATCTCTTATTATAAATGTTGTAAAAATCAAGATATTAAATTAAAACTTGTTTATTTTCTCTTTCTTTCTTTCCGCTACCTTATTTATTCTGACAAATGAGTTATGTTATGTTATAACTCCAAACATAAAAAGATTTTTCAAAAATTTAATAACAAAGATAACATGGATTCTAATATTAAATAAATTAGGTTTATACGTCATTTAGGACCAGAAGTACCTTGCTTATTTAATAATAATTACTGCAGATATCTACAAATTAATCTAATAAGCCGATAGTAATTGATAAATTCTTAAGATAAAACGTTTATGAGTTTGAAGCAGTAACGTGCCGGCAGTTGGCAAAAAGGCATAGAAATGATGTTAAAATTAGGAATTATTGTTTTAATAACAGTTTTTACTGTAAATTCAGAAGTTGTAAATTATAAACAACATAAAGTTTACAAAGTTACACCAAAAACTGATAGTGAAGTACAAATATTGACAGAGTTAAAAGATTCAAATGAATATCTGTTTTGGCTTGAATATGTGAAAAAAGATGTTGATATGAAAATTATGGTAGATCCCGTCAAACAATATCAGTTCGAAAGCTTAATGGCAGATGTTGGAATTAAAAGTGAGTTGGTTGTAAAGGATGTACAAAGGTAAGTTAATAGTAATGGAATAAACACACACACATTACTAGAGAACAATTGCGCACAATAATACGTAAGAATAACTGATTACATAATCATTGCTTCGGTTGGTATTTTGAAGCTTTACGATTCTATTCCACACAATATACCAACCTGTGTTGTTGTCTCAGTTGGCTTTAGTTCATGAATTTACTACATAGTCCCAATGAAAAATTAACGACTTTTTTAGCCTCATCGAAGAACAGTTGCAACGTCCAGCAATGAGGAATGCACAAGATTATAACTGGGAATATTATCAGTCTTGGGAAGAGGTCGAGGAATGGATGGTCAATATGGTGGCACGCTACCCAAACGTGGCATCAATAGTAACAGCTGGAAGAAGCGCGGAAGGGCGAGACATTCGAGGAGTCAAAATAGACTTTAAGAAAAGGGAAAGACCAGTTATCGGAATGATCGAGTCCACGCTTCATGCGAGGGAGTGGATCACAACAGCGACGGCGACTTGGATGATAAACGAACTTTTAACCAGTAGTGATCCAGGCATCAGAGAACTAGCAGATAATGTTGAATGGCACATTTTTCCAGTTACTAATCCTGATGGTTTTATTTACACGTTCACAAATGTTAGTTTAATTGTTTTATAATACAGATTTTTTAATATAGAGAAGGACAGACAAGCTTCACTTGATGGGAGGTGAAATTCTCGAGCCATATAACATCTGAGCAATATGCTCTGTCAACTGAAATCGATATGCTATTAAACTTTAAGGTTTTTTAATCTGTGGATGGTTCGTGACCTAGACGGAATTTCGATTATAAATTACAAAAATAGAAACATGATGGACCGGTGGGATCGACCCGTTGATTATTAGCCATACATTGCCATCATTAGACCAACAAGCCCGTCAGATTTTGTGATACAAAACTATTAGGCAGTGTTTTAATATTGAAGAGAATATATCTATAATTATTATGGTATTAATGTTTTCAGAACCGAATGTGGAGAAAAAATCGTAGCACTGCCAGTTTCAAAAATTGTACGCACAGGAATGTTCCAGACGATATGAGCAATGGCGTTGATTTAAATAGAAATTTCGGCTTCCTTTGGAATAGTATGGACAGACTCTTCTTCTTCTTATTGAACACGTTTTTAAGTCACTAACTATGTTCATTATTTTCCAGCCATCGGAGCATCAGATGATGCTTGCGATATAGTATACGCTGGACCAACGGCGTTTTCTGAGCCAGAAACCATGGCTATAGTAAATTACGTAAAAGGGTTGCAAAGGAGAGGCAACATGGTGTATTATATCTCGCTTCACTCCTATTCTCAGATGATATTGGTGCCTTACAGTCACGTTGGAGGTGCAGATGTTGTAACTGTTCCTAATTATGGTGATATGGTAAGATTTAGTAACATCACTGTATTTGATTTAGTGGACAAATTAAAATACTATTATTAGATTTAGCTCACTGAACCTTGTAAAAGTAATAATATTATACTAGTACTGAAATGAGCTATATATTAAATAAAATTTAAGTAAAAAATATAAATTTACATTTAAATAAAATAATTTAACGGTTTACAACGCGATACGAACATGTTTGACTACTATTTTACTATTTTAACTACGGCGCGGCGTTTTGGATGCTTTACAGCAGTCGTGGTCAGCCAAGCCCCTTGATAAAATAATTTTCACTAATATTGCGTTTTAAACCGTTAAATTTTTAATTAAATGTAAACTACTTACAGGAGTTTACATTCTTTATATTTAACAGTTCGAAATTGCTACAAGAGCCGCAGTCAAACTTCAAGCCAGGCACAACACTACGTATAGGGTTGGAACATCACTGGATATTTTATGTCAGTAAATTAAATATTGGATATGTATTTATAGATAACATTTCAAATAATAATACATTTTCAAGTTCTTCTTTAAATCCGTACTAATAGATAAAGCTGAAGAGTTTGTTTTTTTGAACGCGCTAATCTCAAAAAGTATTGGTTCGAATTGAAAAATTATTTGTGTTGGTTATTAAGGAAGTTTACATTTATTGAGGAAGGCTATAGATTAAACATATCGCTGTTAATAATAGAAACGAATATATACAGCGGGAAATGTGGAAAAAACGGGGAAATTATTCATCCTTGTGGGTTTCCATTGCGTACGCTGCGAAAACAGTTCGAAATACCCAAAAAATATGTATGAAAGAATTATTCCTCTTTAAATGATTTTAAAAAAAGTTCGCGAAACTATATGTCTAACTTGTAAGATTAACTTACAAGAACGACGGGACGCGGACGTCGTGGATAACAGCTTAAATTTATATAGTAGTTTAACAAGAGGTTTCCAAAAAGAAAAATTTATACTCAAAATAACTATTCTCTGCATACGAAGTCGCTGACTCTGCTAGTATATATTATATGGATAGTAGATGTCTTTAAAGTCGATTTTTTTTGTAGACCCAGTAACGGGCTCGGGCTTCGATTGGGCCAAAGGTGGAGCAAATGTCCCCATATCTCTGCTCTACGAACTTCGCGACGTTGGTGAATTCGGTTTCCTCTTGCCAGCCAGATTTATCAGACCCAACAACGAGGAGTTCATGGACTCAATAGTAGAAATTGATAAAGTAACCCGCGCTTTGGGATACTATCACATAAACTCTAGTAGTGTCTTGAAAATAAGTAGTATTTTAGTATTCTTTGCTATATTTTTGCAATTGTAAATTCTTTACTGTTAATAAACTATTTTTAAACCGCAATGTACAGCGTATTGTATTATATTAAAACGTTTTTATTTAATAAACAAAAAACATCGGCGGGCTTGTTGGTCTAATTGTAGCAGTGTATGAATAATTCTCAACGGGTTTGATCCCCACCGGGTACAACATGTTTTTAATTTCTAAATATGTTGGTTGGACTTGTCTAGAAATTTGAATATTAAATGGGTGGTAGGGATATAGAAATTCCCTCCGGGTCACGAACCATCGTCCACAGATAAAAAAGGCGTGAAGCTTAATCACGTTTCGGTTTCAGCCTGTGGATTTACGAATATCCAACGCTGAAATAGGTCGATAGTGCATCTTGTTTAGATGCTATAGGCTAGGATATATCAACCATCAATTTATCACCATTATTGTTTGTTCTCATAATTAAAAAAAGAATATTTTAAAATATAAATAAGAAAATATGACACAAGCGAGACTCGAACCAACGACCAATAACGTATAGTGCCATGTGCTCTCGGTGCGGCGTTTTACTTGAAATGTAATTAGTTATTTCATCATTTTTATCTATTGATATTAATTTGTCGTTCCGATCGATTAAGAGTACTTAGTATTACTTAAGATATGTTTCGCATATCTTTATATACAATCAATTTATTGGCCTATTTTCGTACGGATATAAAACATAACACATATTATATTGTTATAGAAATATCAAAAAATATTACAAAAGAAATAACTTTGACAATACTTAATTTTAATCTAAAACAATTTAAAATACTGTCTATACTTAAAAACGCGAAATATTAGAAACCTATTTTAAAATTAATTTTAACTTTGGCCCGACGTTTCGGATGCTTTGCAGCAGCCATGGTCACATTTATCTATGTACACATAAGTATACAAATTTTATTATTATTATACTAAGTAACTTAACTACAGCCGAAATAGGTACTTTCAGATCTTTAGTATGTATGTATTTAGCAAAATTGGTATAATCTCTACAACTAAGTAACGAAAATGGTCTCCAAATCCTAAAGAAGATTAAAATTTTTGGTTTGTCAACATCAAAATGTCCAAAAATAATACAAGTAAATCAGGCGAGACGCAAAGAATTTAACGAAATAGGATGTTTAGGTAATTAACCAAGGTGATTTATTTTAACGTGATCGTTGACAGCACCCATGGGAATTTTGACTCGGGTCTCAGTTTTATGGTTTTGTGTCATTTTAGGAAAGTTCGAGAGATATTGCTTTCCAAACAGTTTTGACGAAGTATAGAGAATTGGTAGTAAATATAAATTTAGAGTCTCTAGTTTTTAACTGACGTGTCGTTTATAACTACTTACTTTCGTGAATAAATGTTTTTGACTTTTGACTTTTACGACCTAGACCAGAGCAGTTCCTAATTTTACCGAGTGGCCACTAGTATTAATAAGTCTGTCCATCCCTGCCTAGGGCAGGATTGTGTTTTACCATATTTCAACATTTATCGTGCATATTGTAACTATTAAATTATTGCTTTAAGGTTACTTTTAGTTAGAAGTTTAACTAATAGATTTCGCGTTTTCATCGGTTAAAGTGCTTTACTTACATTTACTCGCGTAAACTACAGACAGTATTGTGACTCAATAAATTTGAAAGGTTTTAAATTTGATGTAACGAGGAAACTTTTTGCCAAAGTTACAGCGAGGTATTATTATGTGTATTGCGGGTTAATATAAAAATAAACCATAATGTCTCACCGGATGATATGAGACGTAATAAATTACACAGCCCCCTGACATTGTGACGCTTGACTGAAATCAGATGTCACGCGGCCACAAATCATAGTCCACACCTATTTCACTTATTTGGAACAAAGTGCATAGAAGTAGATGGAGTCGCATTAAATTATCTAACTATACATATATAAAGCTGAAGATTTTTTTGTATGAACGCGCTTATCTCAGGAACTAGTAGTTCTAATTGAAAAACTCTTTTTGTTTTGGAAAGACCATTTATCAAAGTAAGCTTTATGTCATCAAGGGCGGATGTGGAAGATGCCGGGGGTAAAAGATATTTTTAAAGCAAAAGAGGTTATTAGGAAAAACCAATATGTATGCCTACAATTACTAATCTACGCGGCCAAAGGCACGGGCGCAGCTGGTTATTCTATAAGTAAATGCGTCAAAAAATAACCAATACCTACTTGTTCAAGACTAATCAGTATTCATACATTATATCATGGCCAACGATAAAAGAGAAACGTGTTAAATATATACTACAGAAATGATTGCTTGTAAATCTTAAAACTAGACTTACAAACAGCATCTTACAAGTCTGCAGGCAGCGGCAGCAACAGAGGAGTGAAGCATGGCACCAACAATGGTCCGGGTCAAAGTAAATCCGCATTACTTTTATATTAACAGAATACATAGTTAAATTAAACACTTTTAACTGTTTAAATGCAAAAATATATGAGTTAACTTATTTTTAAGTAATATATTTTAGCGTTAAAACTACAAACAATACAAGATATTTTAAGGCAATTTAGATTTTTAAAGAAAGATAAACAAGCTGCATAAATGGATGCTTTGCTACTTAGGCATTCAGAAGTTAAAAGCTTAAAAAGCTTCTGCAACTGTTGTCATTTACGTTTATATTTCCAATATACAAGTTTGTATTTTAAAACACAAAATAGGCGTGGAGGCTTGCCAAGTCTTAATTGGCAGCGATTTTAATGAGAATCGTCTCCATGGTTTTCTTTAGCCAAACCGTTTTCAATGTATATGATAATATTTCGTAATGATCTTTTTTATTGTTTTCTCTTTTATTCTTGCGTAAAATTAAATTACGTAATGGATATATTGATTTTAATGGTCCAAACATTGATGTATTTTTGTTGAATAACCGGATTAATAACAAATATTAAAATAAAGCTACTTGGATTGAGTTTTTGGAATTGATATGTAAAAATATTTACTATTTTAGTAAAATACTAAAAATACTTTATTCTATTAATGAAGTTTAAGTTAATAATTAAAATACTAATTTACCACAGAATAAACATTCTCACTTAAAACCAAATGTTTTATAAGCTGTCGCCGATGATATTTATTAGATAGTTTTAGAACAATTTATAACTATATAACCACTGTATTAAGACCCATAATATCACAGATTACTCTATTCTATCTGGGTCTCATTCACTGGCTCTGGAAATTATTTTAAGCGTTTGTGAACTTTGTGTCTAAAACTATTATAAGACCTATAAACAAGCGTCGTCGTTTATTAATGCTTTTAAATATGATCGTCGAATGTTTTTAAGTTATTTTTGTCGTAACGGATGCCGATTTGTATTCATTAAGCATCAAAGCGTTATAGGAATTTGATTTAAACAGACATACAGAGAGATTTAAATAAAACACTTTCACGGTTTAAAACGCGATATATTAGTTAAACTTATTTGAATATGATTTTAACTTCGGCCTGACGTTTCGGATGCTGCTTTCAAATAAGTTTAACTAATATATCGCGTTCTAGCCGTTAAAGTGTTTTATTTAAATGAAATCCAATCGATCTTTTAATCTCTATTTAAGTTATATGTAAAGGTAATTCAAATCGGCCGTATGCTAACACGCATCTGAACAGCCCGGCCCAGTCACCACATTCGCTTTGACCAGCCAAAAATCCTCGCAAAGGAGAGTCGATTTATGCCAAGATTGGTGCGCGGAGGAATCGAAATTAAAAAACACAAAAATTTCAATAGGGAGGTCGACCTCAAATTTATTTATTTATTTACGCACACAAATATATGCTGCCATTACAGATATAATCCAATTCGACAGTAATAAACGATATAAGAAAAAAATATGAAAACTAAGTTTAATTCATTATTTTCATTACTTCTAGTAGTAATTACGTTAAGAACAATATTTGCTATTTCACTCCAATATCCAATAAAAATGTCAACCCTTTGGTGTACAATATTTACCAGTCGTATTGTTCGCGTGATGAGCACCCTGGCCATCAAGTTGGAATACGCGAAAGGCACAACCAGCAACGGTGGATGATGCCGTTTTCCCACGTATCCGTCCGGCACACTGAAGTAAAGCCAGCGCAAAACAACGGCGTTATGTTCTTTACCCCGAAGAATTTTAATTACATACGTTACCAAAGAAAATCCTCGTCTCACCCTTAATTCGCTATAAGTATCCTACCATAACCATGATGAACAGTGTAGGATACATAAGTGGGTAAAATGGATAAATCCCATATTGTTTGAAGTACAAATATCTCAAAAATTATCAAACACCTGGAATTCCATTTTAAAAACACTGGATTCTAATAAACAGCATACCGGCAAACGCGAAGACACCGTGTCTGTTTCGCCAAATACCAACTTCTAATTTTGATGTCATAGACTCACTCCTTATAAACTTTTACATCAACTTTACAGTCTTTTTATTAAATGTAAGAAGAATTCATGTTAGCTTGCTAATTAGTTCCAGAAGAATTCTCGAAAATACGTTATGGGAGACTTGGAATCGTTTGGAAGACAATTTATCACATGCTGACAGAATTGATTCCTCCCCACGGTTTGACGTTCAAACGTCACTTCTGTTTGTCAACTGTATGAGGTTGGTATAATTGATAAGCTGGAGCGATAATTACGTAATAAAATGTTATAAGTAGGCGTACATAATTTTTTTACTGTAAATGTACGTACAACGTTGTATGTATAAAAGACAAAGAGTGATTACTGGAAATATCTCTATCTAATATTATGATTTTGAGCGTAAGAATCACAAAAATTAATTTAAATATTATAGCAGATCGCCCATGACCACGGCTGCTGCAAAGCGTCTGCATTTAGTTAACTAGTATATTTCGCGTTTTGTTTATATAAGTTAATGAAAGATTTTACATTCGTACACATCAATAAACAAATTTGTCTTTGTTTTAGTTACTTAAGTTATTCAAAATTTAAAATAATTGTAATATGTACTGTATAAAGTA